GGATCAACATATATTTTTGCAATAACTTTTCTCCTGATTGATATTAATTAAAATTTTCTTTAAGGATTCATCAAATAAAGTGTTTTCGTTTGTCACAGTAACGATAAACCAAGTCACCTTTGCATTAATAAAGAAATTTGCCATTTTCCTAATAAAGGGATTTTTGACATTTGAACCACTAACACAAAAGTACGAAAAAAAGACTGAAATAACAGTTTTCTCTAAAATTTTATTGGGTAACTTAAACAATTAATAATCCGTATTTCTACCGCGAACACTAACAACACAAGAACATCGGTTTGGCATACTCAAAATGAGTTCATCCAAATCACGCTGTGGAATGGCCGCCCATGTTCGTTGCAACAACAAAAAAAGGTCTTCTTGCGACTGGATACCCTCCATATTCGGCAGAGCTCTTCTCTGTAGCATATCCCATGCATGCTCAATCGGGTTCAAGTCTGGCGACTGAGCAGGCCAGGGCAGGACATTGATGTTAGCTGCGGCGAGAGTCTGTCTTACAACTCTTGCGGTGTGCGCTCGTGCATTATCATGCATTAACTGAAATAAGGGACCGATTTGCACTTGTAGAGGAACGATGACGTCTGATACAATCGTCTCAGCATAAATTTGAGCGTTGAGGTTGCCTCTGATCCAAATCAACTCAGTTCTTCCGCCGATCCAAATACCCGCCCATACCATGATGGTTCCACCACTATAAGGATGGACTTCCTGGCAGGATTTTAATCGCTGTTGGCGTCCAGGGGTTCTCCAGTGTCGTATACGTCTTGTATCCGGTCTCATACCAAAACGAGACTCATCAGAAAAGCACACGAAACGCCATTGTTCTTCTGCCCAATTTCTGTGTTCAAGAGCCCATTGATATCGAATCCTACGATTGTGCATTGCTATAGGTGGTACCCGTAGCGGTCTTCGGGAATGAAGGTTCACTTCATGCAAGCGGTTTCTGACTGTTTGGTCGCTAATTAAGTTCCCTGAAGAGTGATGAAGCCTCACGGCTAACATCATGGCGGTTATTGTTGGAGCTCTTCGAGTTAAGATTTGAATGTATCGGTCTTGTCTCCGTGTGGTGCAGCGATACCGTCCTCCATGGCGCTCAGCCACGGTACCAGTGCTTCGGTATCGTGTCCAAAGTCGACTGATAACACTCTGACTTGTATTCAGAGCTAAAGCCACAGTACGTTGCCGGGAACCAGCTTCTATCATTCCCACGGCTCTGAGCATTTCTTCCCTGCTTAAATGACGTCGCCGCTCCATAATAACGTTGGTTTTAATCAGTAGTAGGGAAACAGTAGCACTAATAATGTCTTCAATGCGTTGTATGTTTTTATAGGGAAAATATTGACAGCTGATTTTCATCTTTTACTCGAATTTGATTCACGGTTCCTGATTCAAATTATGAAATGCACCAAAAAGGATCCATATAAATTTATAAAATCATAAATTTATTACAAAGCCACATCTCAATCTCAAGAAATCCGCATAAAAATGCTTGATCCCTAGACACTTTTGATGTGTGTAAAACACTCCTAATGTATTTGACACTGATTTACATTTGAAAATTAACCGGTTAACAAATCCTGAACTATACTGTTGAAACTTGGTAAGTAGATGTATTCTGTGAACCGCATTAAGATTTTCACACAAAAATAGAAAAAAAAACACAAAATTTTGGGGGGTTCCCAATACTTAGAACTGAAACTCAATTTTTTTTTTTCATCAACTCATATGTGCGTGTCATTTCGGGATGGATGGGATGGATATGGTCTTCAAAAATTATAATGAGGTTACTAAATTTCTTTTTTCTAAACTGAATAGTTTACGCAAGAAACACTTTAAAATGTGTGTGTCCCTGTAACTTCAACCACAGGGTGAATAGAGTTCACCTGTTATAAGTGACGTAAATGAATCGAAAACAATTTGACTGGGTCGCTCTTCGGCTTGTCTTCGAACAACTTAGCGTTTCCGCAGGAATCGACGTCGACACGTTTGTTATGATGTGACCTCTTGTTGTCCGGACGCGCTTGCTCACCCTGAGTAGCCTTGAAAATGTCCTCGACAACCTAATCCGTTTTACGACTCCTTTGTATTAAAGTTACGTTGTGAAGATATGCGTCATTCGTGTTATTGCGCTCATTCATAACCATTAATAATAATCAATAAATTATAGCGAATGATTATAATTATTCATCGGCTCCTAACAAGATCGTGGTTAATCAGATTTAAAAAAAATGGTTTCCCATACAAGTTTCCACACCCCTTTTCACATCCTTAATCGGTGATTTCTAAGTTAAATTCCTAAGTCCTTTCCTGGGACTAAAAATAACTCTATACCAAATTTCATCTAAAATCATCTCAGCCGTTTAAGCGTGAAAAGGTAACAGACAGACAGAAAGACACATTTTCACATTTATAATATTAGTATGGAAGTATGGATATATTTGGATAATTTATTATAATGAATACTTGCCAATCCTTATTTTTAAATGTTGTAAAAATGCATGACGCATTCCCCGCCAACGGGAGGTGCTGAGGAGGTTATGTGGGACTCCTTCTCGTTCAGTCAGCCCAAAAGACTGGGAGCTCTATTTTTGAATCACTCGTCTGACATAGTATCGTCGAATGCGACATAAGTCACCTTCGACTTTCAAGTCGCATAATACTGATTTTCCGTATATTTTTGAATCACTCGTCATCAGTGTTACCTGTTTGATACGAAATACGAAATTTTACTCATTTCACGCAGAAATAATAAAAACCGGTAATTACTACTACTCTTTGTCGTTTCATATAAAGCATGACAGTGATAGATTATCGTCGTCTAATGGCACAAAAAAAATACAATTATTCTATCATTCGCCACCCCCATTCGCCATGCAGCGAGTGGTCTCACCCATTCGTTGCACTCGAGCGATTCAAAAATACGGAATTATTATGTCGAATGAAATTTAGTAGAAATCGAGCGTTCGACGCAAGACGAGTGATTCAAAATAGAGCTCTGGCTCTTCGGCTGTTAAGGAGAGGAAGGGCCCTACACTAAAAAGCCAAAAATGACCCTCACCTCATCTGGGCCGTGGTCCCTTAGAGAGACTCTTCGGCAGGGCAATGGCACTGGACGAAGGCACGAGAACCCTGTCGGATACTTCCGCGATCCCACCATCAGCCAGGCAACCCTACATAATAAGATCCTTGGTATTTTAAACTTGGGTTTTCCACGCCATATCGAATGCTTGTTGATCGGTGACTGTTCACCGAAAATCCGTTATATCTATTTGCCATTTGATTGAAATTTCATTACTCGATTTTCAATAGACTGTTGTGACATTAGATCGAAAGGACATCGACGAAATCGGCCGTAGCATTCCCAAAAGCCTAGCATTCCTTCACTATTAATATTCTATTATTTTTTTAACTTATTAGCAATTAATCATAGTAAACGGACAAGCTGTTTAAAAAAATAAAAAATATAAGTTCTGTTACTAGATACTACAGTCTGTTTATCCAACTTGTCCTATTTAGTAAACAATCTTGGCACTCCTTTTTATTGAAAATACAGCATTAAAAATCAAGTGATAACTGGATTCAATAGGTTTCAGTCTATAATAACGATTTATTTTAGTAGTTTATTGGCTTCGTTAATATTTTATTTTTAAATGGGTGATTTTGTTAAAAAGTTTTGACAAGATTGTTTCCCTTAATAAATGCAATATAGGCGACCATAGGTATTTATCAACATAAAAATAGAACTAGGTACCTTAGTTAATGATACTTATTACTTACTAGTATTTATATTATATTTATAAAACGATTATTTCTGAAATTATCTAAAGATAGTTTATATTCCCATCCCATGTAATATCTGTTTATTTTTATGAAAATCATAATGATAACCAGGTACACACCTAATTACCGATAGTAAAATATAGAAACAGGTAAATGGAAAGACTTTGAACATTTCATTTGAAAAGAAATCTATTATTTTTATTATTAATTGCATTTTATGTTCATTTAATGCATATTATTTAAGTGCTTACATAGAGGTAAACACTAAATCTATTCAGAATATATAGTGTACATCTTTTACGATTAAGTATAATAATTATAACCTTAAAATCTAATATATCCTGTAGTAGGCCACGGTTCCTCAAGTTGTCCGTATCTCAACAAATGCCTAATTAGAGTTTATGAATGATTCCGAACACAACCAGCATTTTCTCATTGCTGTGCGTTCTAGGGCATTTAATGTATGGAGAACGAGCAAAGTCCTTTCGATACATCGATTTTCATAAGGTACATTTCAATTAACAGGTCACAATTCAACTGTTCACAATTTGACGTATAAATATAATTTTATTACTAGAATTCTGGGATTGTCAAAATGGGCCAAAATTAATTCGAATAACGGATGAATATATTTTCCTTTTTTATTCAGGAATATAAGTAATTTTTATTGAAATATTCGTTCAAAAATAATTCGAATGATGAATAAATTTATTTATTCTCTATCCGAATAATTAATTAAGGAAAGTATCTGAATCAATTACCAGATTTGTCGGTAATAATTATATTAGGAAAAAATGTGTTTTACTGATGTAGATGAAGACAATGGTGTATTGAAATGTTATAACCCCTATTTTTGTGCCGCTTTTATTCACTAAATTCTAAGTGTAATTTGACAAAATACAATTTATATCAGTTTGTCTTATCGCTAATAAATAATATGAGTTTTAAAAAAATATTTAAAATAACGAATAAAATAATACCTAAGTAATATATTCGTAGGCGATTTATCCGTCAATAATTTATTCGTGAATGATTTATATGCGAATAATTATATTTTACCAAAAAAATTAAATAAAACAAGTTTCATCGGTATAGATGCTCTGATTCATTTATTTATCGAATAATTTAAATTATGTCATTATTCAGACGCCGCACCCTGTAAAGGTGATTATTATATAATGTTATTTTGATCATACCAGGTGGGTGTGCGACGACCTCCCTGAGATGAAGGCGGCTCTGGAGAATAACATCCTCTGCAACTACGACACCCACTCGTACGACAGCATGCGAGCGCTATGCGACAGATTTAACCGCGCTATAGATTCTGTCGTTGCCTTGGTAAGTGAATTAATATCATAAACTTTTTACCATAATGATAATTGATCTTGTTCATTTCGTTCATAATAAGTAAGTATTTTTCAAGCACAAAAATGCTTGACTGCTAGATTCGGATTTACAGAATATTAATCAAAAAAATCCTTGAGATTGTCATTTTGTGTTAAACGCTAAATAGGTAATATATGTTTGAAACTGGTTATAATGGTGCTAAATCATACGCTAGGCGTGGTGGGACAAGCACAATAAATATTTCCTACATTGAAAGTAGCTAGTCTCAAATCAATAACATTTGAGTCTTGTAACCACGGAGTCCTGTAAAGGATCGAGGAAAATAATTAAAATGGGAATTATTTAAATGATCCTCAAAATATAATAATTGATCACCTAATTAAACAAGTTACCTAACCTTTAGTAACCTAATGGTTAGGTTACAAATTGTATTTTTTTGAGGAACAATTACTATTTTTTTGATAATATTCAAATATGAGCCATTTAAAATTAAATAAATCGAGTTGTTTAACCATTTTTATTGTAAGGATGCGAATTGAGGAATTCACACATGAAACATATTTTACATGTTTTTATATCAATGTCGCTACTTATGTGTGCATACTGTGCATGCGGGACAACCCAAAATTTCTACATTTTTCTGCTCTCCAAAATCGTTGGTATTTATGACTTTGTGAGATATGGCCATTGTCATAGTGCAAGATGATAAGCGCGTTTTTGGTTTGTTTTTAGGGAGATCGTTAATATCTTCTTTTAAACAAGTTGGCGTTTATTAATCGCTTTTCAGTGAATGACGAGTCTTCAATCAAATCTCAAAGCACATGTCAAGTTTTATATAAAAGCCATGGAACTAGTCATTGAAAGAGCGATCGATCGATAAATAATTCGTGAATTACGCGATGCCCACTCGTAAGACCACGCAATCTCTCCTCGCGGACCGCACAATTTTCACTCGTTGATTAACTGAGGTTCATTGGCAAGGTAGTTTTCATTCGACAGTCAGTGAGCGCCGAAAAATAAAGGCGGTGTTGGTAGAGTGCTGGGTGAAAATGCAGGTTGAATTAATGAATCTGATGTAGGTGCAACATAACTCCAAATAGATACTTTTTCGAATTATTTATCGTGATAACACGTATATTAAGCTAGCAGACCATGGTCGCAACGCGCACATCTAACCTACTGGGTATTTAGTTGCTAATTAGTTACACTATTCCCGATTTAGTTGCTCAATACCTGTAAAAGATGCAAGCGATCTGCTAGATTAAGTCTTAACCTAGCAGACCACAATACTGTATCTTCGGTTCTCGTAAAGATATCGAAGTTCTGCAAACGGCATATTTAGTTGCTAATTAGTTGCTGTAGGACAGCATTATTTGTATTATCCTCCCATCATCCCCTAATTGCCGCACCAGCACCCACACTACCCCCGAAATACGATAATATTAAAAAGAGCTCATCAGAGAATATACACTACGGCGTATTTTGTTGCTTATTAGTTGCTGCAAAATAGCGTTGTTTAAAAAAAATAATTATCAACCCTTAACTCCAGATCATCTCTGCAGCCATCCCAGAATAGGACGATATCGTATAATTCTCGTAGGTGGAAAATAGACGCGGCATATTTAGTTGCTAATTAGTTGCTCGCCAAAAACTCAATTAAGAGTATTCTACAATCATCCCCTAACCTCAGATCCAACCCCTCTACTCACTGAGAAACAGTAGATGGTTGGAATTCGCACGCAGATGTTTAAAACTGCTGGATATTTTGTTGCTAATTAGTTGCTCGCCAAAAACGCAATTAAGAGTATTCTACAATCATCCCCTAACCTCAGATCAGCTTCAGCTATACACACTGTGTTGGAGACACAGTAATCCAAATAGGTTATGTTTATGAAATGTTGTAGTTTTAGCATCTACAATTAATTTATCTACAATTTGTCCGGAATACTTTAATACCGAAACTGCTGCTGATAAATAGCTAATAATTTTGTGGATAAAAAGACATCAGTTAACATAATGCTTTACATCATTAAGCCGGTATTTGCGTTGCGAGGAGTGCTATGGTCTCGTTTAGCGATCAAATATTGTGTGTGGTGTACTAAAATAAGTCGATGTTGTGGCATGCGGATGGGTTAGTACACCGCGCTCTGACGGGCATCACCATGATGTGTTGACTGCAGCCAGCTGACTAGCCTTCGTCTATTTACGACGTTAAACAGGTTATCGATTAAATGGAATATTTTTATTAAAATTTAAAGTATAAAACGACTCCTTCCTTTGAATAGTCGGAACATTTTTCCTACCATAATTTAAGGACTTCTTTTAGTTGTGGAGAAAAACTGGAAAAGAAATTACATTCCGTACCATTGTCTTTACAACATTAGCCACTACCTATATATTATATTGATAAAAAAGTAAAAAACGCGTCTGATGTAAGGAACCCCCTTAACTATTTATTTTATTCTGTTTTGAAGTATCTTTGTTTTAGCAGCAACAGAAATCACGGTTCATGAGATACAGCCTGGTGACAGACAGACAGACATACAGACGGACAGTGGCGTCTTAATCTTATAACTAAGTTTCCGTTTATACCCTTTGGGTACGGAACCCTAAAAACAATAACAGAAATTCGTCTTTTTTTGTAACTTGGAAAGGTAAGTAAATGTCATTCTTTATAAATAAAAAAAATCTGTATTTGACTCCATAAATATCCATTCTTAGCAAAATCTGCAAAATAAAATAGCAATTCAGTGATAAATGTTCTGAAACTTTAGAGAAAAACATAAATTATGTATGTTACATTTTGGCAAAAATAATTAAACGTGAAAAGACTGAAATAGGGGGGATGAACAATTCTACAGGAAGCCAATTATATGCAGATGAAGTCGTAGGCACCCATAGGTATAATTTAAAATAATTATTATGTTGACTATTATAGCAAAGCAATCGACACTTGGCATAGTTTCACTTTGCTTTGCGGAAACATCGTCAATGTCACCTTCATCTCAGTCATGTCTATTTGTAGTTTACTGTATTTTATTCAAGAATGTATGCCCTTGTAATTGTGTTTCTTCATAAATATTGTATACTTATGATCATTCGTGAATATGTTGTTTTAATGAAATACATATTTGAAAGTTTCGAAAAAAAAAATAGATTTAAAAGTATATTTCTATTGTGCGAGTGTCATGTAATTTACCTGTAGTGTAATAAAATTAAAATATTGGAGTGACTTGCGTGACATGAACATTACATTATGTTTAAACAACCAAACATATTGTGAAAGTAATGCGCGTCATTTTTCATGACATAATTTCTATTAGGGAAAGATTGTAAATTTACATCATTGACTTCATTTTAGTGGTTCTTACGCTACTAATTTTGCAAATGCGAAACGATGCGTTGAATGTGGGGCAGTGAGGGGCAATCGTGGGGAGTGGTAAACTGCAGGAGGGAGACACGAGGGCCAAGATGGCGGCTAGGACGCAACGATCGATGTCCACAGACGCCGCGTGAGGCTAACTCTATTTATACACGTTGCATGCTGCTTTACACACACGTAACATGCGATGAGAACCAAATACGTAGCTATTGAAATATCAAAACCAATTCGTGGTGGAGTGGTTGGTTTGTACACCAGTGTCGCCTCCTCTGAGGTCCGATTCGAATCCTTGTAGGGGCAAATGTTTGTGAGATGAACATTAGCATTTGTACCCAAGTCATAACTGTTTATATTTAAAGCTCATATTATAATACTAATCTACGTATCATTAATGTGTTTCTATCTGTCACCGTAGTATCCCATAACACAAGCCTTTACAGTGCTTACTTTGGGGTTAAACTAATGGGTTTAAAAAAACCTAATTCTTAATCACATCATGAAATATTCGGTTATATGACACTGTTTATGCTAGGTTATATTACCTTAAAAGTGATTATGCACAAACTTCGATATTCTCATTTCCACTGCGTTAAAATTAATAAGTACAAACGTGTTATTCATTAGTTGGATTATTTTTACCCGTATGCGCCAGAAGGAATGTTATTTTTCGAATACGGAAATTTCTATAAAAGTCCTGACATTCGTATCAAGGGTATGTGAGGAGGTTAAGAAGCATAATTATGGTCATTTGGTCCGTCTGATTCTATTTTAATTCTAATAGGCGCATGTTATACCTACAAGTGTTATTTTCGCGTTGCCTACCTTGACTGACCCCATTCTGACCTACCTAGTAGAGACTAAGTTTTAGGTTGGAACCTTACTGACCAACAGAAAAATAGCACAACCAGAAGACCGAGACGGGGCGCTGTAATTCGAGAGGAATATTCGCTATTTTGCAAACTATAATAATACGTATGCAAACTATAATGTGGGGAGAGTCACTGTCTTCTGGTCCTCAGGGTAACCTTTTCCAGAAGGCAGAGTTCCAGATTATCATGTATCAAAATGTAGTTGTTCCAATAAATAAATTAATATTAATTTTTTTATTACATATTCATATTTCGATAGTGGACGTTTTTAGGATAAGAAGATGCATTTGATAATAAGGTCAAATGTGTTTATAAACACAATGCACAAGTGTCATTACTAGATATCGGTTATCTTTATGTAGTATGACTAGAGACATGTGTGTGATGTATGACACTGAAGAACAAGGCATTTGAAATGGATGGAATGGATTCACCATGTCGTTTTATAATTGCCTGTCTAATTTAACCGTATTTTACCTTAATTACATCTGTTGGTGCAACTAATTTATTTTCATTAAACTTTATATATATGTACTATGTCAATGATGCCATCCGTTTATCATTGATGGTTCACGTGATTATGTCACGTGTTGTTGACTTAAGGTCACGGTCCCAAGTCTGTTATTTTACTAAAACGTCACAATGAAGTGTCGATAGTGAAATTTTTGCGATTTGGTATTTTACTTGTTAATTTTTACAAGTGGCTGTCCACTGGCTTTCCACTGCCTTGTCATTCCAGA